AATGCTGTGAATTTCTACAAAAACTCCACTGTGCTGAGATCTTCCCGTTCAGAGGTTTCCTAATATTGCAGATCATAGTTTGACGGCTATTCGATCATTCCAGGTTGCAGATTCACAAAATCTTCTCGGTTAATGTTGCCGAAATCGGCGATTGACTAACGTTTAAGAATTCTCGAGCAACAGTTTGAGCGTCCAATATACCGGTGCAAGGAAATAAGACAATTGGGAGGAGGGCTGTTGCCGGGAGTGGAATCACCTCACACATCCAATAAACGGCCATCAGCGTGATGCAGAATGCGCACCTGTACTTCTGAAATATACGATCATTCACGTCTGCTGATCGCACTTCACTTCGTCTTATTAAGTTTTTCAATCAGCCCTCTCAGTCTGAATGTGATGGCTTTCGGTTGAATTTGAACTCAGACATGGANCCATTCATCAATAAGCTGTTAAGCTATTTTCCCTTTCCACACGCCAAGAACTTTTCAAAGTTCCTGACAATCCATGAATTTGTTACTTCATTAAATTTGATAGGCTGTGAAGGCCTGATCATATGATGGTTCAAAATTTTGATGGAATGATTCGCCAGATACAAACCGGATCAGGCGACATCAGACATGGGGCGAGAATCATCGGAGTCAGGATTAGGACGAATGATCGCCAAAAATACAGGATATCCGCCAGCATTCGATTGCGGAACGTTCCAGGATTCTCCGGATTCTGCGCCAGCTCATCCACATCCGAGCCACTGCATATTGGCTGTGTTGACGAGCTGCTAGCGATCGCTAAACGATCCTGTGATAAGCCCACGGCCAATGTGCTCGATTTACTCTAAAAGCCATATCGGTCATTAATTTTGCTCTGATCATAACTGCTTGCTTAGTTTCCAAATCATGCTAATAGTACCGCTATTATCTAAAAAATCCCAAAATCCCCACAACCATCAGCTCATTCTCCAGTCTTATATTCTTCACTGAATTCTCCTGAATCCACCATCAAAAAGATCCGTTGCCTTCTGTCAGCTAGGAGAGAACCTGAATTTTGTTGAGAAAACACGTGACTTCGTCGTGATTTTGGAGTTCTAGACGTGATGAAAAGCCATGGCATGGTTTACAAATTACCGTCAGTTCCGGTGATGGGATGGGTGATAAAAGCGTTCGAGTGGAATCATCATAATCGGAAACGACCAAGAATGGTGCGGACGTGGTCGTTGATCCGACTCGATTTCGAGGTTTTTTGGTGGACGAGGATATTTTACGGTTTTGAGATTGAGACATATTATGAGAAGACATCGTGGCAATAATTCTCTTTTATCTATTCAAATGTTCCAAACTGTTGATCAGAACGAACATCGCGTTTGAGGAATATTTCACAGTAGAAGTACTTGATGCCCTCATAATAATAAATAATAATAATAACTCGAAAATAATATATTCATAAAAATCCAAACATGCACAAGCACAAATCCATCTACAGACAGCTATACTGCAA